GTGTAAACAATCCAGCACTCACACTATCCACTGCACGCTTCATTTCCAGTAGGCCATTCTTCATAGCTGTGTGCGTGCTAGTGGGTGTGACATACTACAAGTGTAGTTAGCTCCATTGTTTGGTCTTCTTGTCAAGGATCAACGAAGTACTATGGAAATTTGTCTTTTTAAGAGAGTGCCACTGGAAGACAATGGCTGGCTAATTAATCAGTCAGTGGTCATTCGAATAGTGGTTCCTATCTTTTGCTATAAGACATGCCTAGAAGTTACGAGAGCTCAAGACGCTTCATTACCAATTCATGGGGGATTTGTGCATAAATTGAGGATAAATAGGAGAAGGAAGGGAAGAAGGAAGAGAGGGATACAGATGTTGCTTTATCCTCATGTTCATCCTTCATATTCTTATAATGAGCTTTCGCCACGCGATGATTAGCGTTTTCTTTAGCATTAGCAGCGCTGGACGGTCACATGCAAAATAGAGTAAACGGTTGGGAGTTGGAATTGATTTGACCAACTTATGTGTAGTGGTTGCCTTTAAATAAGTATCCATAACCTTGACATTGCTGTGCACATTTAAAATGGTTTCTTTACAAAGTGGTGGTAATTTTGTTAGAAGGTCTCCATATGGTTTGCACAATACAGCATTTAAATAGGATATTCTTCTGTGCAGTACGTGGTTGTATGGGAAGAAACCACTGTTGCTGTTATATTTGTGTTTAACTTTCAGAATTATTTTGCTACCAATTGGATGTTAAATGACTTCATAAATGCGTACAAAATTGTTTTTTTTTTTTCTCAATCAACGCGGAATCTATCAAGTGAAAATCTTCCTCACTTTTTAGAATGTTAACATTTCCATTTAGATTTTGCTTCGCATGACATTTATACACTTGACTTTGGAAACCTCATCATACATCATTCTTGTTTTCTTCTGCTAACAGGCTTTTAACTATGCATCTTGCAATTGCGGTTGGCACAAGTAAATGGTGTTACATGGGTTTTGCTGAGTACAATATTTGTTCCATCCGACCTCTACTGTCGAGGGATTTTGTCGATGATAGATTAAAAAGTGTTTTAATGCTGGCCTGCTTTTGCTATCGTCCGTACACAATTGTCATGGTTACCGAGTAGTCAAAGGCAGTCAAGTTTTACGATTACCTTTTCTGTATCTGTCTAGACATGACTATATGAGGTTCGTGACTTCAAACAAATGCATGTTTGGCTGGAGAAAGTGGAAAATAAACAAGAAACATTACATTATGATTGTGGATTTTAATCACTTAACTAAGCGTAAGTACTGAATCATTTGCTCCTCGAACTGGGTAATCCACATATGGGTGCTAATGAAGTAGTCAACTTAGAACGTAGTCTGGTTTGATTGTTGCACAGATCTCTTAGTAAAGAGCTACTAACGCTAGTGCTAATTTTACTACACTTTTAATTTTATACAATTAAAAGGGACTATCAAACTGACTTTGCAAACTACGTAAAATCTTCCAAATTAAAAAACAGCACATTCCTTTACAAATTAGCATGTTTGAAGGATACAGTGTGGATTTAGTTGAGTCAAAGGCTCTTGCTTGTAAATCCCTCACTTTTATTTAGAATAATTTTACCACTTTTTAGGTTCATCAGTACAAAGTGCCGAATGGCAAATTATCTGATTTTAGTTGGTCGGCCAATGACAACCTCAACTTGTTCACCGCTGATTGGTTGATAATTGCAAACAGTCTTACCGGACGCACACACCTACAACGAAACAGTGAACTATTCCTCTCATCATTAAATTGGCTCAATCCACCCTTAATACATATGCAACTATGCCTAATGCGTCACACTTGGCCACAGAAATGGAAAGTCCGAACGTCACCCACCCCGAGGCCATGGAAATATTTAATTTGGGCATGAAACTCGGCATGAGTTTACCCTACATCCCGCTCATGATTATAGCCCTTATCGGTAACTCCCTCGTTTGCTACGTCATTCATCGCTACCTCCAAAATTCAGTCACCAATATCTTTCTCTTCAACCTCAGTGTGACGGACATCCTTAGTACATTGGCCGTCATTCCTATGACAGCGATCGCTGACATTTGGCTCAATCACTGGCCATTCGGAGCAACTATGTGTAAACTGGTACCGTTCATCCAATGTTTGACAGTCACTTTGACAGCCTTCACCCACGTCCTCATTTCTTGTGACCGCTTCCTAATTGTCTTTCGACCCCTGCAGAGACGTCGGCTGCTGACACCACGACGTGCAAAATTTATCATCATTCTTCTTTGGTTGACTGCATGTATTCAGGCTACGCCGTTGGCGGTGGTGGGATACTTGCCGGAGGGAGCGAATGCGCGTTGCGAGGAGTCATGGGACGCTCATAGGAGTCAGGTCTACACTACTACGCTCATGGTGATGCAGTACTTCATTCCCTTGATCCTTCTTATTTGCTCCTACTCCGTGATTTGTTGGAAACTTAACTCCACTCAAGTGGGAGGCGCCATTTCCGTCAGTAGGAGTCGAATGGCAGTCAGATCTAAGCGAAAGGTTAGTGAAGAACATTTTCAGAGGCTTTAAATACAGGGGAGTTAGTGACTGTGGCGCAAGTATTTAGTTGTCGGATGTTCCACTTTTAAACTCACTTTAACAGATGTCTTTATTTGTAAAAAGTTATTTCACTTGTTTTTAACCTTATCTGACAGTTAGTTGTTTTCACTTATAAAAAAATAGTCTATGCAACCTTAAAATCTTGTCGCTTTTCCGTTTATGATGGTACAAACAGTCATAATTGATTTAAAAAGGTATAAGTAGTATTCTGTACACCGCACAATCACGTGCGCAGATTCAATTTCCCTCTTGAAATGTATTTGTATTTCACTCAAACATACTCATTGTTTACGTAAAGCTCAGTTTTAACATGATTTAGGTACTGAAATTACCTCTAGATTCCAATGAAAAACCTTTCTCCTTCCAAGCCGCAATGCCATTAGATCCCAAAATTTAATGCTAAATGTTTCTATATTTAAATGGGAATCATTTTAATTTTTTTGCATATGAATGCCCTTAAGAGTGAAGTCTATTAGTCAGCTCCCTGTTAAAGCTAATTATTTGCAAGAACTTTAAAAAAGGTAGCGTATTTTTTAATGAAGGCCGCTGTATGGGATAATGCATAAGGCTAAAACGGATCTTGGAAAACACTGTAATTTAGGTTTATTTTAGTGCTAAATAAATGTGTTCCAAAGCAATAACACTGTAGTCGTGATTTCCTAGCCGATTGTTGAGCACTTGTTTTCGGGTAATTTCTCAAAATTACTTGGTCTATTGCAAAAGGAAAGCAACACATCTAGGAGTGGGCTGGGTTGGAATGGGGATGAGGTAGGAAGCCTTTTATCCAAACACATATTCCTTTTAATAATCTTATTTTGTTTTAGGGTGTATTTTTTTACTTGACCTCAAATGTTTACATGCATTAGAAGGTAATTCGCTTTGATTCGATTCTTACATTCTCGCGGAGGCCTAAACATCGTAGCACTGCCAGACTGCCATGCTTTTGGAATTGGCAACTTTCCCCTTGCGTGATATGGAGAAGTGACGAGCTGATTATCCCCTAGATATTGAGAAATAAGTCCATGTATGGACCAGGAACCTAGTTCGTATTTGCATAAACCATGTGGCTTCTTCGGAAAGTATGTTTTTGGTATTTTCATAGACAAAATTGAGCCTCTGATTATTCTGGTAAATACGTCATGTAAATTTTTAAAAAAATTGCACATATTTGCAACTGGTTGTAAAAAGTCATAAAAGAAGACGGTAGGTGGTTAAGCAACTGTTATTTTTTTTCAAATGATTGTACGGTTGCTTTTTTGTGAAAGAAGTTTAAGTAAATTCCCTTGTAAATTAAGTAGTACTTGACTAGAGTAAACGGAATATCGTATAAAATGCAAAATATTATTAACTGTAAATTCATGCTTAATAATAGATGCTGCTGAGTTCTAATGAGGGGAAAAATTTGGTAAGCGCTGTCTGCTCGAGTTATTCCTCATTCCCGTGCCTAAATATGACTAAAATTCCGCCTAAGGCACATTGCCTTTGAAAGCAATTAAAATATTAGATGATTTTAGCGGGTTGGCTTTAATGATAATGAATTGGCTAAGGTAATGTTAGGATATTGAGGTTGTGGGTTTGGAAATGCAAGGTATGCGGAGTTTAAATGACTGGTTTTTGTATCCACTGTGAAGGACCAGACACTTTTTGCTCTAAAACTAAAGCAAGCAAAATGCACAAAGTCAACTTGCATTTTTGGCTGCCTCGTTCCTCTCCATTTTTAAAATTGCACAAGATATTACCGCCCACCAATGCGGATGGACATAAATCTTCAAATTGAAGTGAATTTAGCACGACAATTTGCCTCCTTTGCAGAATATAATAATCGCTGATCAGCTAACCTCATTCCTTGTCCAATTGCAAAATGTCTGTTCAAAATTGCTGGGAGTTTTAGAGGATTTCATTAAAGCATGAAAACCCTAAGACAAAAAGGAAAATGGTTAGTGTATTAAAAGGTGTGAGTGTAAAGGAATACCTTTTGACCGGAATATCGTGGTTTCAACATGCTGGCTAGGAATAATTTAATATCTTGTATAATTAATCATTATCCAGTTAAATAGCTTTATTTAAGCCTCTTTTCCACACCTAGATACGAATCATGATAACTCTTGTAAGTTCTTTTTTTGAAAACTTGGCTTTGAGATGTCATAGACTTCCAGCAGGACGAATCGCTGCGTTCAAGAAACATTGGCTAATGTTAAATTTTAAAGGAAATTTTACGTTTCCGCCTACTTACTATACAGCGGTTAGCTTTTAATAATAGAAATGAACTTTTGTTACGGCATAAATAAAAATATCTTAACGCAACGCTTCAATGGCCATGATATCGTGGTGGATATTTTTACGGTTAAAGTGTCTTCACCGTGTCTCATTTTAGGGGTACCGGCTAACCCACTAGCAGGCAACCTCTATGCTTACGCTTTTATTGCGTGATGTTAATCCCATTTCCCTCCATCTATTTCATTTCTAATTTCAATATATCTGGACTGTTACCTGACTCGCTTTCATTGTTTTATAAATAGGCTTAAAATTGGCGGTGTTCAGTGGTAGAGATCTTGAATTAAACAGCATTATAAATTTTGCACATGCTCCCGATTCTACACAATAGACAGTTTCGCACCACATGCCCTTGGAAAATTTTGTATCTCCAAAACAAGAGAATATACATTCAAATTCTAAAATTACTGCAATTGCCAAAGGAACGCCCATTCACAAAGACTTTCTGTTTTTCAAGCGGAAAAAACGTTGGCATGAGAAAGATTTTCCATTTGGTTAAATATTCATCTTCTCTGCTTTAGAATACAAGATCTTCTTATTTGGTGGGATCAAGGGCCTTATGCAAACTCTGTTTGTTAAATCCGAAGAGATTGAATCAGGTCAAGATAGGAACGAAGATTTTTAGTTGGTCACTTGTTTGTCCCGGTACGGTATGCAGATTTTCATCCTTTTGGTCTCTCTGACCAACTGCACACTCAAAGCACTGATTAGTGATAAAGTGGAAGAAAAGAGAAGCATGGTGAAAATATTTTAAGCCATGGCGCCTACTAGTCTTTTGTAGGTCGAGATCCTTTGCATCTTTTTTAGATCTGTGTGCCTAAGTCCTCATTAATAAGGTTATTGAGTGAGAAGTTCATTCACAACGCATTATGATGCATACTAACCTACTACTGTTCAAGCCCGTAATGCTTTTTAAGCTCTAAATTGCTAAAATACCACAGAGGTGTTGAAATACTTGGGTGGAAGATGGCACTGCTAGAGTAGAGGATAACGTATCGAGATAAAAAGGGAAGATTTGCGCAATAAAGTGCAGAATTGGAACTGGTGCCAACATTCCAATTAACACCTTCTTTGAACATCGCAATCCTTAACTTATTCATTTGTCGTCCCAACAACTGAATTTTTGATACATATGATGTAGCAGGCTTATTTCTCACCTAATGGTATTGTTGAATCTGTTAAGTGTCTGTAGGACTCGGCGAAAATTTCTCTAAGTGCACTGAAAGAGACAAGTTGATGTTCCACCCGAATAGTGTTTTGCATTTCATTCCAACTTTAAGTGAATATACAAGTTATATGCAATTGAAAGCTATTTAAAAGAGGTTACAGTAGACGGCGGAGTATTTGCGGCATACTGGGACCGACTGTAAAATGAATGAAATGATGTAAGAAATCATCCGAATAGTTTTATCCTCGTTATATTTCACCTTTCCATTTGATTGCCATTTCACTACCGGCTAATATCCCATCCGATTTTTTTCCAATTCTCACGAGGCGAAAAAGCATCAAATCTTCGGTATTAATTTAGAAGTGATTCTTTTAGCTGTTTTTGAACTATAGGCGAGGCTGATTTAATTCACTCTGAGCGTTCTTATGTTAATAAATGTAAAGCAGACTAAGCGTGAATTAGGTAGCTATGAGAGTGTTATGCGTTGTAACTCCGATTTATAACATCTTTTTAGATACGATCTGTTTAAACAAAGGTTTACATCAGAGAACCAATGAGATTTGCAGGGACAGAACGCTGCTGCTGTGGATTTAAAGCTAGAGTCAAACAAGTCATTATAAGGATGACTTTCTTGAGTTTGTGCGAGGATAGTGAAAACGATACTATCGTCATCCGGTACTAAAAATTTGGCCAATTTAATCTACTTACCTTGTCCATCCGTTACCGTACATTACGCAAACAAAGCGTGAAGTAGGTAGCCGCCAAGATTTGCGTTATCGTTATAAGTATTTCCAGGTTTAATCAATTGCTATCAAAATCCCAATTCAACACCATATTTAACAGATTTTCTTTTAAGAACCCATGAAGATTTCAGACAAACCAAACAGAGATATAGAACCTGTAACAAGATTAGACATTTTATTCTTTGTGCATCTCCAGATATATCTTTGGGCTACAAAGTCATCCTTATTATGTGCTTACTTGAATGACTTTGCTCAATGAAATGGTAAGGCGATTTCAGAAGTGTCCATTCTTGTTAAAAAAAATTAGCTGTTCGTGACCGCACAAATTAGAATTAAAGTGGTGAATTGTCAAAATTCGACGTGAGTTCCAAAACTTTTATTTTATGACGATTTTTGCGTAGTAGTTAATCATATCACTTGACGAGGTAGAATTTTTTATCAAACGGCCCAAATCTACCACTAATATTCCTTAAAGGATAGCATTGGAGGCACAAAAGTAGAAAAACTTGTCTAGTTGTTCTTTTAACGGAGCCGAAGCCTAGCAAATTGTTTACATTTTTCCTCCATTAAGATGGTGAAGATGATGATAGCTGTATCAGCACTCTACGCCATATCGCAGCTGCCACGACACGTGATCTACCTTTACGGCACAGTGGTAAATTGGGGATCTCGTGATCTTGCCATCGCGTGGACCTTCGTTGTGTTGCTGAGCAGTTCGGCCTCCTGCTACAACCCCTTTATTTACGCGTGGATGAACCAGACCTACCGCACCGGCTTTTCCCGCGTTCTCTGCTGTTGCTGCATCAGGTGGCGCAACAAACAGCAGCCAGAGGGACGCCTCAAGAGTCGCTCCACTGACGAGTTTTAGTCGTCCTGAGGCGAAATTATCAGAGCAGTTTACTATTTTGTATATAAATATTACCATGTATGTACCTATGTATGCTTGTAGCTTTTGTGTGTAAAGAGGTTTATTCAAGTCACCAGTGTCGGCTTATTTTTGTGTCCAATCGAATCACGAATTGGCTTTCAGGAGCCTCGGTAAAATTTCGTCATCAGAAGGTGGGCCCGAGATTCTGTCTGAGAATACAATAGGTCGTCGGCTCAGTTTTTTTAAATAACCGCAGTTTGGTTAGTCTCTCCACAAGTTACGCTTGTTTTCGGTTTCTTCAAGCTGCCTCAATAAACCTTAAAATTACTTATTCAATGCAAAGTAAACAGGAAATTTCTACTTGCTCAGACGTCATACATATGTTTATAAAATGCTACTTATGATAATGCACAACGCTGCCCATAATTTCGTTCACTATACCTCAATTGAATACGTGGATTTGCAAACTTCTTAAATTACAAAACAGTTTTTTCATTCAGTTATTCTGATGTTCAATTACAACTACCTATTTTATTGTTTGTATGTGCCTACAAAACTGCATGCAGATGCATTCCGCTTTGTATGACTAGCGCATTGAGTTTATTTTAGTCCTTTTTTCTTTTAGTCATTGCAGCACTTTGAGTAATTTACACCTTAAGGTGGTGGGACGGAAAAAACAGAAAAAGCGTTGGGTGACAGTACTATAAATGTTCACATGCTTTTACGATGTTCATTCAGGCTTGCTGATTTTCTTTAACTGGTCATTCACTCAGTTAAATTAGTGAAGTGGTAGCACTTAATGGAAAGAAAATTAATGAACGATTTCATTTACACGTTCAGCACAAAAATCATTTATCATTCTTTAAATCCTTTTATGGATTTGTAACTTTAACCTTCGGTATTTAAGTTATTTTATTGCCTCAGATTCATAGGGCTTCTCGAGTTACGGCATACCACAGTTTCACTTATAACCTTATAAGGACTGGCCCGACTGCTTTCAAGACTATCGATGGGGTGGAGAATGTTAGCTGCCATAGTTGTAGTTTAGGTTTCCTCCTTCTCCGTAAGATATTTTATCAGAACATTTATTTAAATTTTTTTGCCATTTGTCTCCCTACCAACGTCATAATCTGATAATGTCTAACACTCTAGTGAAGACGTTTTAAAGGGGAACCGAGAGCAAGTAGAACGTAATGAACTTCATAGTCGCGCCTATTTATTGTCTATACTTAACTTAATATTGCGCTTCGCAGCGATTTTGACCTGAGTGGCTGACACCAATTCAATTCATTTAAAAATTACTCCAACCCCCAAATCACTTCCATTAGTACCCTCAAATAATACAACTGTAAAAGAAAACACTGAAAGCTCTAATATTAATCAGAAGTAATTAAGTTTAACCTCTGTAGGACACTTTTTTGCACCTTAACAAGATTAGCACAAATCTAGACAATTCATAGATCAAACTGCTTTCCCTTACTATTTTTTGTCTACAGTGTTGTGAAAAGATACACCCTACTCGTTCACTCACCCATTAATCTACCCACTGACACACCCACTAGCACGCACACAGCTATGAAGAATGGCCTACTGGAAATGAAGCGTGCAGTGGATAGTGTGAGTGCTGGATTGTTTACAA